ATCGTGATGTAGGTATGTGGGGGCGTGTTAGAACGAGCCGTTTTAGGTAGGCGTGGTTGACTCTTAACTTTTATAAAGAATATCTCTTTGGATTTGAGACTTTAGTCTTTGCAACTCTACAGATCTTCTTTATGCACCAAGAGCTTGTAACACTCCAAAGAGAAAGGAAAAATTTAAATCGCATCATATGACCCCTTTAAAATGAGTGTCTTTATCCGTAGGTTGTTGAGCAAAATGCTTTCTCTAAGTGGAATTGATTTACAAGTGTTTCTCTTATAGATAGAACGCTGATTTGTACACAAAACACTCTCATGATGGCAGATTCAAGAGAATATTTGTAGTGGATTGACCCATTTTCTCTTTAGGGCCTCTAAATTAAAGGAATAGTTCATCAAATGAAAAGCTGAAATAATATGATGTTTTTTATGTTTTCTAAAGTATATATAATTATTATTATTATTATTATTATATAGCTGGTAGCTAGAGTTGTGAATATCAACAATATCAATAAATATACAACTTTTATATAATAATTATGATACTGTAATCATTATTTTTATATTCTTTGTGTTTTTCATTTTTATGTATTTATATACATTTACATAAATATTTATATAAATGTATTATATATTTATATTGGCTGGTTTGATGTTATTTTTTAGATTATATAGACATACATATATATATATATATATATATGTCTCATTGGTTCATAACCCCATTCCACATGTACATCAGATAATGAATATGTTTTGATTAGCTGTAGTTTTGTCACTTACCATTTTTCTTTCAGTAAGGACTTGCTGTGTTGTGAGTAAGTATGAAATGTGGGGCTATGATAGAGCACCCGACGTGCACGAGGTCTGTTTCAGGGCTTCTCTGTATGCTTCAGTGCTGTACAGAGAGGCTTCACATGTTCCCAGTGTCTGTTGGGTAATAATCTCAGCTGGTCACTGCAAGAGCTGACCGCAAAACTCTCGTTTCCTGCTGTCAAGCTTTTACCAACAGAAGACCTCACAGATCCTTTGCACAATGAAGCCCTCTTACCACCAGCGCAGGACAGTTTGGAGTTTCTATGTGATGTATGTGAGCTGTTGCTACGACAGTGGGGAAAAGCCATCTTATGTGACTAAGAAACTTAATGAGGTAGCGCAGAGGTGCTCAAAGTTTGGCCTACAGGCAAATCCATTCTGCCACGAGTTTATCAATGACCTCCTGCTAAAGTCTTTTAAAGACTTTCACTGCTTCTGTGTCTGCACTGCAAGAGAATGAAACGACATCTCCCATTATAATAAATAAAGCACTGCAAGAAAGACTCCTCTTGTCATTGAGTGATCTAGTTTTGTCATGTCACTTTGCTTGCAGTGCAGACTTTTATTTTAACATTGTATTTTTAGTGCATTTTTATACTAAATTACACTACCATTGAAAGCTGTGGGGTAGGTAAGGTTTTTTTTTTTGTTTTTTTTTTTTGAAAGATTTTTTTTCAGCAAGGATGCATTAAAGTGAAAGACTTTTACATTGTTACAAAAAAGTATATTTCAAGTGAATGTTGTTCTTTTGAACTTGCTATTCATCAAAGAATCAAAAAATCAAACCATACGGTTCTCCACACACAGTTCGGCACGCACTAGGACCGCAGTTCAACTTAAATCTGACAATGCATCTGTAATATGGTTTGCTATAAATAACACGTTAAACAAACAGGCTTCGGCTAATGTATGTTTCTGTTGATGGATGCGCATTCTGGCTTCCCAACACATTACAACAACAGCGATGGGGGAAAAAAATGGACAAACCATTCACTCTTGTTCAATGCCGAATGCCGTATGCTGGAATATGAGCAGTCATTTATTCCGTCATCACCCGGGTGCTGATAGCATGCGCGCACAGGTGAGACCTGAACAGCACACTTGATATCTGTGTTTAAACTAAACTCATGTAAGCTTTGCCAGTTTAAACAGGCTAATATATGTTTCTGTTGATGGATGCGCATTCTGGCTTCCCAATACAATAACAGCGATGAAAAAAAAAACGTGGACAAACCATTCACTCTTGTTCAATGCGAATGCTGGAATATGAGCAGTTATTTATTCCGTCATCACCCGGGTGCTGATAGCGCGCACGCACAGGTGAGACCTGAACAGCACACGTTGATATCTGTGTTTAAGCTAAACTCATTTAAGCTTTGCCAGTTTAAACATTTAAGAGCCAGAGGACGCGAGCTCGTGCGCGCAGTGAGAAGATTTGTGAGTGCACTCATCCGAAGCGTGAAACCCGCGTCTCAGAACGCACGCAGATATTAAGCTCTCTCTGAAGTATTGTGTTTAAATGGACAAATTAACACAAAAATTATGTCAAAATGCCCGTCTTGGTAAGTATCCTATAGCACAGGAAATTATGATCCGCACTCACGAGAACAATCTTTTTTCTTTTATTTTACATTCATTACTGATGGGAAAAGACACAAACGTTTCGGCTCAAAGCCTTCCTCAGTGTGTCTTTTCCCATCAGTAATGAATGTAAAATAAAAGAAAAAAGAAGATTGTTCTCGTGAGTGCGGATCATAATTTCCTATACTAAGTAACTCAACAGATTGACGCACCAAAATAAAAAGATTAAGTAACGCAAGAGCGCAGTGCAAACGACATTGTTAAAGTATGCTATAGCAGACATAGCCGACTGAACGTACTTACAGTGTCTTAAAGTGACAGCACTTTCTTAATATTAATCAAACCGCAACAACAAAGAAATCACTCACTGCTCTTGATTGAATAGGTTTTGTAACTTTAATAAAGATTAATCTTTAATTTATACAGTCAAATATGCAATGCTGTTTTACATTTCATTACTTTATTCAATTTCTGTACCTAAATACTAATGTTAGACCAACCTAAAAAAAAAAATGAAAATCACTGTTTATTTTATTTGTATACTC